CGATTACCCAAATTGCAGCAGGGATTCTGCCTGGGGGTCCCGGCACTGCTCCCACCCATCGTGGTCCAGCCCGGAGCGCCGGGTGCTGGTGGGTGCATCCCCTCCCGGCACTGTCCAGCCCGAGGATGGGGATGGGGACGCAGTTCCCCCACCCTGGCCTCAAGCCCCAGCCCGAGGGCTGGCTCCATCCCCAGCGCCTGCTCCGCTGGCTGAACCCAACAACCCACCTTCCACAGCAGCAAACACAGCAAAATTGTAAGAAAAGCTCTTGTGGGAACTTGCCGGTGTCCTTGTTTCCCCTGGGCTGTCTGTGGGTGGGAATCACTCTTGCTTTAGGAAAAAAAAAACCACAACAACTGACATATGGTTTCTGGCCCATTTTGACCTCAAAAAGTACAAGCAAGAGGATCCATGTTTTGGCAAAGGATAGCATGGAAGTGTCCAAGCACGCAGCAGCTCCAGCTGCGTGGGCATCAGCAGGCAGCATCCCCAGTGAATGATGCCCAGGGCTGATCCCAGTTCAGGGAAGAGCCTTGGCTGTGGCTTTTTGCGAGTCCCTGGATCTCCCCTGGAGCCTCACTGTCCTCCCCTGATGAGGAGGATCCTCTATCAGAAGGGAATCACAGGGTGAGACCCAGGAACAGGCACAAAGTGTTCGGATGTACCACGGTGCTGTGTCCGGCCAAAGATGTTTGCATGTTGGCAATGTGGATTCACACGATTCCGCAAATTTAGCAGGCGCTGTACAGCACAGCATGATGAAAGCTGAAGTACTTTAAGCCACTGGTACAGTCAGGGAAACAAACATGAGTCTTCCTGCTCCAGATTTAGCTCTTTATTGATTTTCCAGCTGCATCCATCAGTCACTGTCCCAGTGCTCAAATTATCCATTAAAGACATCATAGAAACGAGAGGGAAACAAGACAGCCTTGTGGTTTTGATGAAAAACGTTAAACATCTCAATCAGCAATTTCTGGAAGGAAAATTTGTCCTTCTTAGGGTGGGGACCGGGTTATGTTTATTGTGGAACAGCTCAAGACACTGAGGCCTCCTGGCTGCTTGTGGTCCGGGGCACGGCCACCTCCCCGGCTCCCACTGCCCTGGCTCCCGGCTCCGCTGGCAGCGCCAGGACCTGCAGGAGGGACACAGGGCCCTCCCTTTCAGCTTGTCACCTGCTTCCGACTCAAAGGTAAACATAAAACCAGTCTCCAAATCCCCATGATGGCACTGGAGTGGATATGATGTCCCCGGTCTGTTCATGCTGGTGCTGCCCCTTGCCTAGAGGTAAACCCTCCGTTGGTGACTGCAGCGGGGTCACATCCTGCGGGTCTGTCCCAGGGACCTGAGCTGCCTGTTCAAAGTGTCCCTGGGACCAGAGCCCTGTCCCCTGTGCTTGCATCCAACTCCTCCCTGCAGTTGCAGCATGGAGGGACCCCAAGGGCCTGGCCATTGGAGATGCTGTCGACACCCCATCTACATGGAAATGCCCTACCTGGGGGCTTCACTCCATGAGTAAAATCTATGACCCCCACCTTATAAAGAAACTTCAACCCACGGAGCTGCACCGTGTCCCTGCG